CTATGGTTACATTATTAAAGAAGCTACCTCACAGCTCCTGGTTGATTAGGAATCATCAGTCACAGTAGATAGTTTTGTGGGGTACAGAAGAAGAACAAGCCCAACCCAAAATTAGCCAAATGGTTATGTTTCTGTGTAAATAATGAGAGAATACTTAATGCTTACCCCTATATACACCACACACCAGAGTTTTGACTATGCCAGGACAGTTTGTCCTGGCTAAAGATTTGTGGTATGACCCCCTTTCCCCTGGATTCTCCCTCTCTCTGTCTCTTTCTCTCAATCTCATTCCCCTCTCGCCATCCCTCTTTTCAGTTCACAGCAATTAGAGAGGCAAAGTAGAAAAAGAGGAATGTGTGAGCACGCTTTGTGAGGATTGGGAGAAAGACAGAGGGAGCACAAGAGAGAAAGTTAGAGATAAAGAGAAGAGGGAGAGACAGAGGAGGGGAGGAGAAGAAAGCAGAGGAGAAGGCCTGTCTTAATTGGCCTGTGTGGCCACGCTGAGCTGTGATGGTCTAGGCTTGCCAAACCCTGTGTCTCAATAGTTGGCCTGGCCTTACATGCATCCCGTGCATCCGGCCAACCACAACTAACTCTAGTGTGGCAGTTTTCAATGTCAGGCCTGGGAGAGTTGTGCCACCCACATCTACACTCCGGTCCACTGTTCAGGAGGCCTCTCTGATGGGGATGGGTGCGTGGGTTTGGGTTTATTTGGCTCCACCAGTTTAGGCTGAGGTGGCATTTCTGTGCTCTTTCTATTGTTTACTTGTTTAAGATAATGTTATAGTGATTTTATGTCTCGACCCCAGATTTAGATGCAGATGTAAATTTAAATTTGACAAGTTAGAAATGTACCTACCCAGATTACATAATTACATGCATACTTAGGGCGCAAGAAAAAATCCTTTTCAGCCTTCCACAGCGTTCATTCTGTTGAGGTCTTTGCTAAACTGAGTTATTAATACATTGTAATCTCACAATAAATGAGAATGTAATTTCCTGCTAACTACACTAAAAGCTCTCCTTTGTTCAGACTGTACCACACCTCTGTGGTATCAGCTTTACTGGCCTTCACAAGATCAAACAAACATAACCATCAAACTCGGCAACTGGGATCACAAGTATATGTCTTTTTTGCACTGTGACCTGGTTTGGCTTATTTTGGTTGACTTATATTGTGCCAGATGCTGCTCCGCCAGACACAGCAGTGATGTGATGAGCCCCGAGGACCAGAGAGTCCCTGACCTCATCTCCTAGCTCTCTAGACTCATACTACAGTATGTATAAACACCTACAGGGAATAGACTCAGTCTCAGAGCGGGTGACACACACAGACACACCTTCCAGTAGATTACTGTAAAAAAGAAAAAGTCAGTGCTAGTGTTGTATTGAGAATGACAATTCAACCACACTATATTCATAATGCATTTAAAATGAACTTGGTAATGGTGCCAAATTTACTTTCTGAAGGATAAAATATGTAAACATTTGCATGCATTTGTATTTGCAACCAAGTTCAGTGTGTACATGTCTGTGTATGAACTTGTGCAGCTCCTAGCTATCACTCATAAATGAACTATTTTTGACAACATATGCTGCCAGCCGAGTGTTTTCCCCTCTTTTTGTAAGAGGGTGAACACCTTAGTAGGGCAATAACATTTCATGAGACAGGCAAAGGTGATTTAATTGAGCAATTTATGACCATAAAACACAGAACACAAGCTACTCTACAACAATAGTTCCTCCATTTTCCCAGAAGCAACACATGTGCATCTCATCACAGTAAGGCAGAACTCTGCACTAAAGCCAAAGTAAAAGAGATTTCTGCCTCTCCTAGCTATAAAGTTGGAAGTCTTTGATGCCAACCTAAAACAGAACTGAGAGCCACACCAAATTCTACTGCACCAAGATAACCCCAGTGCCCAAAACTGTTTCGTCTAGGAACAAAGATAGACTGTAAATCTGCCCAGTAACAGACTTGCCATGGGTGGGTATCTGCATGCATGTCAACAATGAGAGGTCATGCCATTTACAGAGCATGCATGTGATATTTTGAGACATGTTGGTTACTAAACTTAGTGACTGAAGTTGAGCTTACTCTTGTAGTTAGTAAACCACTGGAGGATAGAGGGATGGATGCACAAATGGGCATGTCAGGGGCACTGAGAACAGGTCAGGTTTAGTGTGGCATGCAGCAGAAGAAGCACTGAGGAGTTGCAGCCAGCCTCCTTTAGAGTGCTGGTTTCCACTTTGGCACACTTTGCCCAATCAGACAGCAGGAGACAGGCAGAGACAGACGGACGGACATGGAGGCAGGCAGAGATGGATAGAGGGAGAGAAAAGACAGAAAATTGGGAGGGAAGGTAAGAGGAAGTGAGAGAGTGCTAAAAGCAGCTGGAGATTCTTTGCAAGGACTTAATAATAAATCATTTACAGGGTACATAAAGTTTAATTGATAAAAAAAAAAAAAGATTTCAAAAAGCTCAACCCTCAAGCTCAACACACACTCAAAAGTGAAAATGCATATCCAAGATAGGCACTGAACAAAGCAGTAAATCTTTTAGACATTTTAAGTTTGATAAAATGTTTTTTATTGATTAAAAATGAAAGTACATGAACTGTGCATTTCAGACGTTCTAGCGTGCAGAGGTTAAACCAATAAAATACACACAGGCTGAGTGAGCTACTGACAGAAATAGTTGCCATGGCTCGGCAAGATATTTCTTCATATTCAGCGAAAAGAAGTGGTTGTCTTTCACGCCATTTATAAGAACACTAAAGTAGCCTGTTTGAACTTTACAATAGTGAATGAATGCAGTCCTAGCAGGAATATGTAGAATAAAATAGAAACTATAATAATAATAACAACAATAACAATAATAATAATTGCACTGTCTGCTTTGTTGCACAACTGAAGAATATAATTTGAGACAGGACACAGCCTTGATAATTGAGATCTCTTTGACAGAAAAAAAAAGTACTGGCTTGACTATTCACCACTGTATGGTGAGTATCCATTAAATCTCCACTCCACGGGGTGATGCATGACACAGTAGAGAAGGAAACTATAATGTGGCACAGAATGACCTTGTTTCTGACATGGGCTTCAGTGGTTTGTCTCAGAGAGCTGTATCATTGTGGCCAGGTATGTGTTTCCACAACACGATATCACTTAAACTCTCCTGCTACCCTATTTCTCCTTCGGAGAGCATAGACTGTTTATTTTCCTGAGTGCTTCAGAAATGGTTTAGCATGATAGCCCTTCATCAAAAGCATAATGGATGGATCACTGGAAGATTGTGAGGGGTGAATGGCATGCTAACACCCCCACACCCCCCACTTGTAAATACAGATACATACTGATGTATGCATAAGATCAGGGGCATTGCCTTCTACAAACAGAAAAGAAAGTATAGACAGACAGATGGATAGATAGATAGATAGATAGACAGATAGATGTGAGGGAGGAGAACAGAGAGGTGTTAAGCGATGATACTAAACAATGACCTTTAGGTGACCTTTGATGGTTGTTAGCATCATAACAGTATCATTACCTATAATTAGGGCACTGACACCATGGATTCTGTGCGTCACATGTAAGGTAAATCCTAAATCTACAGCTGACCAGACATTTATGGCATCATGACCCAACATCAATGGCACTGGCACATAGACGAGATGCTCCTTAGAAGATCATAGGACACCATGCACAATTACAAAGACATGATTTAATGAAGGTCTGATCATACCTCCGCCATAAATACTAAAGTGGCTTCAAAAAACATAGTAGGTTTGAGTACAATCAATGATGAATAGTTATTTTTCCAATAATAAAATCACTCACTGATGTGATCCTTTTCACAGGTAACCCTCACAGGCTTCTGGAAATCCATGCAGACCATGTGCCTATTTCTGTGACATAACATGCTTTTAGCAATCCACGCTATGCTGCTGTTAAAATATTAATTCAAAATAACGGTGGCAAACAAACAAGGGGAAAAAAAGACTTTTTTTGGTACAAAGCATCTACAAAAAAGCCTTACAAATCCAATTGGAAACCAGAGATCATACAAAATAAATTCATCAGTTGAGCATCAGTGCTACGCATATTATTTAGACCAATTTCTCAAATATATTTTATAACAAAATAAATAATGCCTTTATACAGTGCCCTTATTTGTATTTCAACAAACAAACAAAAAAGCTTGGCGGCTCATTACGCAAGATACAGCTCAGACTAAAGGAAAATAACACAACATCCCTGGAAACTAATTATATATCTATATTTATATATATATTTTAATATTTATATATATATATATATATATATATATAAAGAGAGAGAGAGAGAGAGGGAGAGAGATGTATATATATTTATATTCAAGTATTTGTTTTCAGGCAAAAGCATGTGAATACTACTGATATACAATAAAAATAAAATGTTAGTTGACATTATTGCTGTTTTTTTCCCTTTCAATTGAAATTTTGTGCCTTTTTTAGAACTGTAAAATAACATAACAATAACCATGGAAATAATAAAAATGCCTAACTTGGAAAAACAGGAATGTCACGGTACCAGAAACTGACAGGGTTTTCCTTTTTTACATTGAAACATTGATATGAAAAGAAAACAGAAAAAAGACAAAATAAAATATAATTAAAATTATCCCACTCGCTCTTTGTCCATGCCATATTACTTCCTGTCAGAGCAGTCTGCAAAGCCATGGCAAACAAGAAGCACTGTCCCAGAACTGTAGTACTGTCCCAATCCAGGCGGTTCACGGTGTCCCATATTTGTCCCCACACTGCTCCATGTGTCCAGCAGCCTTAGAGGGCAGGAGGAATAGGGACTGGGTTTCAGGTCCCCCCTAGCCACTTATGCTGGCAGCCGCTAGCACTTGCTGTGAGCCTAGATGCCAGCACAGCCCGTATCTTCTGTCAGTGACACTTCCCCCTTGACATTGCCACTGTCAGGAGCTCCCCCATATCCTTAATTTTCCTTTTTTTTAAGTCACGCTTTCCTTAAAACGGAAAGCTTTAATATTCATTCAAAAGAAAAAAAAACGTGCTTTCAACCTCTTCTTTGAGTCCATTCCCAAAGCTAGCACCATGACATTTTTTAAGCTACATGTTCATTGTTCATAAAAAAAATAGTGCCATTTTTTTTTCTTTACTTTGACGTAATCCGTGGCAATGTGCAATTTTGCAGACTCTTATCTGCTTTTTGTTTGTGATCAAAAGGTGCTGGAACAGGAATCTAATTTTACAAAATAATTCCTTACAGTGTGGAAGTCCCTTTATAGGTAGAGGTGCAAACTAATAAGAAAAAGAACTAACAGATTTTCTTTTTGCCTCAGGAAAAAATGAAGTGGAATGGATTCTTTCATGCAAGCTGCTCTTCACTGTCAGTTGTGTTCCTCAAGGACAAAAAGCATTCCGCTGGGTGTCCTCTTGACACTTGAAAACCACAGATCTTTCATCTTCTTTTCTCCCTTCCCTTTTTCTCTTCTGCTTAAGGATCCACCTGAATTGCATTCAACCGAATTGTCAGCTTTTTGTTCATCATTTGTGTTCATGCCTTTTGTGTCAGTGAGCGGGAGCAAAAGAGTTCAGACAGGAAGAATGTGAAGGCATGTTTGTGTGCTGCAGGAGGGTGGGTGGGTGAGGATGAAGGGGGGGCATTAGAAAAGGGCCAGGGGGTCATGAAGTAGTGGATGAGAGCAGGGGGAGGGAGTGGTGGGCTCGGACAGGGCACGGGAGGTCAAAGAGGACTGCCACAGAAATGACGTCAGAGACAAAGCTATAATCCCCTAGTCTTTTTTTCTCCCTCCAAACTCTTGTCTGTGCAAAGGGCTGGCAGTGGGCTCATTTGTGGTGGACATAGTTGTTCGTGGCAAGCAAGACGGGAGGCAGTTTGCTGGGCAGGCTGATCAGCGGCCTGTGAAAGATGGCCTGCTCCTGGGCTTTGATCTTCTCCGCCTGCCTCCGAAACTTTTTTGCCCTCAGGATGGCAGGGACACCCCTCCGGAGCCGCTGGGCCGCCTTCCTCTGCCACACCTCGCATTTGGAATACTTCAGGGTCACATGCGGTTTCCTTGGGACTTCCTAATGTGGTGTACCAGCAAAAATAAAGGAAAAAGAGGGATTCCGTTAATTAGGGATGATATGCTACTGCGCAAGTGCTTATTACAATGGAAGAGAGCCTTGTTTATTTTCTTAAAAACACTGAGTCATTGTTGGGCCGTTCAAATGGAAATCAAATGTCATTCTTATAGCAGTGAGTGCCATAGTAAGCTCGCTTGCCTCCAACCTGCCCTTGTTTTGGTTTCCTTCACTGAGAGAAGCTGTCAACAATTGTTTAGCTCAGGGAAGGGTGGTTACTCGTCTCATATACATATGAACTGACTAACTTCCATAGTCTGAATGAAACTACACATAAACACATTGCCATTTCAAAACCTCTATTTGTACATAGCAAACACTTTTAAACAGCATTAGGTGTTGTGCTGAGCACCAGAGATTGAGACAAAGTGGGAGTGGTAACAGGAAAGCTAGAATTTATGCATGAGTAGCCAGGACTCCATCTGAATGGCTTGTTTTGGTCCTGCCACTTGAAGAGTGTTTATCCCCCTTCATTCACTCCAGGCCTGCTCAATAGGTTAAGAACAGCTGGGCCTCAGATCAGCCTGTACCCATCCACTCTCACTGCACTGACAAACTAGAACATGTCCCAACTAATTCCCTAGCAGCACCTTCTTTGCATTTTAGACAGAAGCGCCATTACTTTCCTACTTTGCAGTATTTATTTATTTGTATTTATCTATTTTTTGTTAGTGATCTCATACCGATACCAACTCTGGTTTTCTAACAAGTCAAAGTAGAAATACCATAAGCATCTTTCTCGACTTGTCTAAAAGAAGGCTGAAGGAAAAAGGTCTGGAAAGCAGCCAAAGCTCAATCTTGTGAGCACAGTGAAAAGACCTGAAAAGCTTTGACGACTCCCTGCATGTTTGGGGCACATTTCAGAGAAACTGCTGACCAGGCCAGGTGTTTTTGACCACACAGATCAAAATGCATGCCGGTTTTGGAGAACTTGCTGTTCCGGGCCTAATAATAACACACTCAGAACACACTGTTTGGTTACAGACCAGTAGTCAGCTCACAGACTTTCTCTCTCTCTCTCTCTCTCTCTCTCACACACACACACACACACTAATAATTTTGTGAGTGTGACTCTGTGTTTTCCTGAATATAATGTGCTATAAGTGCCTTGATGTTTTCCACACTGATCAGCACTTTGTATGGAAGGTAACTGCTTACCAGTGACCATTTAACAAGATAAACCTGTCCTTGCGTGGGATTCAGTCTGCACTCAGTGACAGGGACATAAGGGTGAGACTCACTGGTGAATAGCGGCACAGGAGATGGGAGGACTGATAGACATAAAGATTAGCATTGTTTCCCATGCTGGCATGTTGTTGTTGATGAGATGTACCGTTTTTATTGCGGGCATCACTGGTATGCCCTGTAGAGAGGTGGCTGACACATCCCTTTCGGACTTGACAGGTTTGGCACAGTACTGTTCCAGCAGGTTGAGGTCACAGCTACGGAAACAACACTCTTCTACAATCCCACGGCTCTGGGAGCGCCGGCTGTTACCCCTGCTGGTTGGCCTACCTGAGGAGAAACAAAGTGAGGGGTAAAGAAAGGTGATGAAGAGAGTGGGGTTGAAGGCCTGGGGACAGTGATGAATCTGGGTTGTTTTTTGCAGGATTACTTTGACTATCATAGTAGTCAATGCAACAAAGAGGATAAAAGGAAATCTATAACCACCTGCAACAAAGCTTTCTGTTTGTATCAGATAATCTGATTAGGACTATCTGGATGTCCTTTAAGGAGTGACTACACAAGTAGACACCCAGTGCTACAGACATTTGGATGAGCAAAGACATAAAATGGCAACTCTTCTATGACCTTGTCCTTTGTCAAGTCAGCAGAGATAAAGAGGATGAGGAGGGGGAGAGGAGAGGAGGGGCAGAGAGGGTAGAGAAAACAGGAGAAATGGGAGCGAGCGAGGGTGTGTGAGGGTCAAAATAGAGGGTAAGAATGTAAAACAAAAGAGGAGGAGAGTACAGATATGGCAGTAATCGGTACAGAAGAAAAAAGTGAGGGGTTGGATAGTTAGCATGCTGCACAGGGGAATGCAAACAACAATCCAGGACTTGTTTGTAGTCCTGTGCTGCTCACAATGTTGGAGAAATCTCATGAGAGGGGAGGCTAGATTTGATTGCAAGAAGAAAAACATGAGAGAAAGAGAGGGTGATCCAGGGGGGTAGGAGAAGGCAAGTAGAAGGAGGGAGGACATCACTATGTTGGTTCACATTAGATAATAATCATTGTGATTATTATTATCTGAAAGAAGCTTCTATAGCAAACTGCACAAAATCTGTCAAAGGGGGGGAAAGGAGCACTGGGTGGGATATGTTTTTGGACAAAAAGGTGTTTTCTCTGCTGCAGAGAGTGATATCAAAGGAAGGGGAAGTTATGTACAATGCAAACAGTGCAGTACAAGCAGAGGTCTGTCCATCTGAGGGTAATAGCTACACAATACATTCAAATAATGCTTTACTGATATCCCCATCAACACATCTGTATAAAGTATCATCAGAAATTATGTTTAATGATCTTCCCTCTTAACCTGATATCAACAACAACTCCCCCTTCCACTTCCCTCCAAATCATCAGTGTGGTCGTCTGGCCTGGGAACACTGGTGCTGAGGTGACTGGTATGCCTCTTGGGGTACTATTACTTTACTGGTAAACAAGCGATTCATTGTGTAGCGCTGAGGCGTGTGTGCCTTCACAGATCGCCGGCTTTTCATATGCAATGAGAGGTATGGGCCATAGGAAGAATGCGCACACTCAGCAGAGCAGCCTGGACGAGGTCTTGAGACACACAGCTGCCTATAATCTTCTTCTTTAGACGCTTTCGGACCAAACAGTTCGAAGGACTTGGCTCTAGGGACTGCCCCGCTGGGGAGCTCCCCCAAGAACTACACACTTTTACAGGCTTTTTTCTGTTTGCATTCGCACAGCCAGTAGAAACTCTTAAGTAACATAACACTAATAAGCCGGTCCGGCCAACAAGTTCACAACAGTTTACACATAGCAACCTTAAGTTCTCCTCCACGCCAGGGGTCATTACAGTATTTTCTTTATATGTTGCCCACGTTAATTATATAAGGAGCCATTAAGCCCCTGCAGAGGCTTCAGCTGGAGG